ATATATATATATATATATATATATATATATATATATATATATATATATATGATGGATTTGTTGTATAGTAATATTTCAGTATTTAGTAGATTTGACGATCAATGTAATTATTTGGTCAGATTAGAAGTGTAAAAAAATAAATATTCTAATCTTTCTTGATTTATATTATATTTACAAATTAAAGCCCTGAAAAAGAGAATTAAGTAACACGTTATAGAACCATCCGTTACATGCAATTGAGTGCAATCATCCTTGTAGGTACCCGAGGACGAGAGTAATTATTCTAAAAATTTAAAGAGAAAATTAACAGTTTTAATTAAAAAAAAAAATACTCAAATCGGATAGTGATAGCAATAAGTACAAACCAAGCGCTTTACGGAACATTTAACACTCTCAACACTGACTTTGAACATCTTTCTTAACATGCAGATTATTTCGGACCAAGCATTTGTTCAGGTCTGACCCATTGATCAAATTGTTCCTCTGTCATTCCATTTTTCAGCGCAGATTGTTTTAATGTGAGATTTTCTTTGTGCGCTTGCTTAGCGATTGCTGCGGCCTGTGAAACGATTGTTTTGAAAAGTGTGTATATTCTTGCAATGCTGTCTCTCACACACACAATATCTCCTACATTAATATTCTAAAAAAACATCACACGATACCTTGTCGTAGCCAATATGCGGATTCAATGCTGTAACGAGCATTAAGCTCTCGTTCATTATCTTCTTTATATTCTCAATATTCGGCTCAATGCCTACGACACAATTCTTTGTGAACGCGCTGCAGGCGTCACCTAACAGCCTTGCGGATCTCAAAGTATTGGCAACTATAACTGGCTTGAAAACATTCAGCTCAAAGTGACCATTGCTGCCACCAACGGACACTGCTACGTGATTGCCCATCACTTGACTGCACACCATAGTGATCGCTTCGCACTGCGTAGGATTCACCTTTCCAGGCATTATAGAACTTCCAGGCTCATTTTCCGGAAGAGACAATTCTCCTAAACCGCATCTCGGTCCACTTCCAAGGAACCGAATATCATTTGCGACCTATGCAGATTATAAGTAAAAATATAGATACAAAATATAAACAAATTAAAAAATATAAATGACGATCAAATAAAGAATGCATTTCTGTAATGATTGTTATACGTAAGTTTGCACCTTCATGACAGAAACGGCCACTGTATTAAGAGCGCCGTGTACTTCCACCATCGCATCGTGCGCAGCCAGAGCTTCGAATTTATTCGGTGCGGTAACAAATGGTAAGCGAGTGAATTCAGCGATTTTCGCAGCTGCTTTTTCCGCGAAGCCTTTTCGCGTATTCAATCCAGTTCCGACTGCTGTACCACCAAGAGCCAATTGATACAGTCTCGGTAACGTATCTTTCACTCTCTTAATGCCGTTTTCGATCTGCATAGTATATCCTAAGCGAAGAAATATAATATTTTAATGCACGTTGCGTGCGAACTTTAACAGCAAACATAAAATAAGTAAACATACAATAACTTTGCAGATACAAACCTGAAAATTCTTGACCTAAGGTCAGTGGGACTGCGTCTTGTGTATGCGTTCTGCCAATTTTTATTATATCTTTCCATTTTTCTGACTTTTCCTTTAATGCTTTGTGCAATTGTTCCAAGCCTGGAAGTAATATTTTATTGATTTCCAAGGCCACAGCTATATGCATAGCTGTTGGAAAGGTATCATTGCTACTCTGTGACATATTAACATGATCGTTTGGATGCACAGGTTTCTTTGAGCCGAGTTCACCACCAAGTATCTCGATCGCACGATTGGAAATAACCTGAGTATTTTTAGTACATTATGTTATCGCAATAATTATTATAATTTCATAGTTTACTATGATGTTGAAATCGATATGGGCAATAACCTCATTGGTATTCATGTTGGTTTGTGTGCCAGATCCAGTTTGCCAGATAACTAAGGGAAAGTGATCATTATATAACTTTCCACTTATTACATCATCTGCAGCTTTGCTAATGGCATCAGCAATTTTAGGATCCAAACCATATTCTTTGTTTACTTCTGCAGCAGCTTTCTTTAAAATACCCATAGCAACTATCACACCATACTGTAAAAATAATCTGCATTGGTTAGATTGGATGTGATAAATAAAGCAAGTATACAAGGTAAATTTAAGGTACCATTATTTCTTACAGGCATACGCTCAGATGTATCACCAATTGGAAAATTCATCACTGATCGGAGAGTTTGGGCACCATAATACTTATCACTTGGAACTTTCAGTTCTCCAAACGTATCTCTTTCTACTCTGTAACCTTTATCTCCACCATACTCCTACATATACAATATGTTATTCAATATAATCATTTTTATATTAATAACATTGGTATAAATATAGTACTAATATAAAATATAGTGTGTATGTTAATATAAAATTAATAATATCATGGTTATACATGCGAAAAATAAAATCACATACCATTATTAGGATTGTGCAAGATACTGAGTATAACTGGTAGTATGTTAGTAGGAAAGACTCTAAAAGTCGGAATGTTAAGGTCTTGTGTGATAAGATGTGTGGGTAACACTTGAATGTAAACACATACTACCAGATATGCTCATTTAAGATTCAATACGAATACGTAAATTATTGATATAGAAACCGTTTAACAATCTTTAGTCACTGATGCTTATTCTAATGATTAATATATTACATATGTATTAACACAATTCTAATATTTATATTTATCAAATACTTATTAATATATTTGTAAATATTTTTCAATTTTTTTATATTTTTATCAGATGTAATTTTGATTAACGAGTAACTTTTGTATTTGCATTTTGTTAACAAAATTAACGAGTATTTATCAGAAATTTTGAATAATATAATTATACGAATTTGTTATATTGTTTCATAATGTCATACAGGCAGTTTAACTAAAAATATCAGTCGATTATGTAAAATCCAGATGTGCCTGTGAAAAATGTCAGGAAATTTATACCTTACTATTCATCGTAACTGTTGAAGTAGACAGGTATAATTTTAGTGTTGAACAAATTGACAACTCTTTCAATTGACGCAAGCCGCGGCTAGCAACACGGCACTTCAGTATGTTTAGCGTCATTTTTTTCAACTGTGACAATGTTTCCGATAAGAATGTTTCGACAGCGACTTATCTTATTCGGCGAATCGTCTACCTCAATGAGGACGAAACGAGAATCAAGTATATAACAATATAGAGACATGGGCACTGAATTGCATTATATGTGCCCTGGTGCTTAAAATGCTTCAAACAATTAGCTCTCTGCATATCAACATATAATCTTATAAAAAGATTTATTTTATGTTCTATAAAGAACTTGAATAAAAAAAAGTTTTCGATAGAAATTGCACAAAATTTTCCTTGTATTCATAAAGAGATAGAATTATTATTTTATAATAACATATTAAGTTTTTTTAATTTTTGTATCCAGTCATATCTTCAATCGAATATGTGTACATGAAAAGTTGATTTCATCACAGTTTCAGGACGATTCAAATCTGTTTCAAATGAAAATGTTATGTGCTAAAGTACTTTAAACGTAAAGTACGGCACTGAGTGTTAAGGGCCGTAGCACACAGAAAAACTTAAGCAGTAATGGCTCTCGCAGCCAGCGCGATTTGCGACGCGACACGCGATATGCGATGCGCGATATCCAATGAGCGTACAGCTTTTCCGGAATACCAATACGCTCATTGGATATCGCTCGTCGCATATCGTGTGTCACATCGCGCATCGCACTGGTCTGCGAGAGCCATTAGACGTAAGCAGTAAGCAAACTGACCAATCATAGTCGTTGATTCTTCTTACGGTCCAAGAATCAATGACTGTGATTGGCTGATGCGCTTACGGTGCGTCCCTTTACATGGGAGCATCGAGTGTCGAGCGTTAAAGCGATAGCCAATCAACGTACCACTTTTCGCAAGAACTACAAGTATACTTCTGGAACCTGATACGTTGATTGGCTAACGCTTTAACGCTCGACGCTGGAACGTTCCCATGTATTGGTATCTTTAAGTTTTTCTATGAGCCATCAGCTTTATGGCTCCTGCGGACGCGGTAATGCTTGCCAAAGAGTCTCCGTACAAGACATTCGTAACATGTTAAATTTACGGATTAGGGGCGCCGCACACGAATTGACATAACAGTAACGTAAGACGTACCGTAAGGACCTCCACACACAAATTGACATAACAGTAACGTAAGACATATCGTAAGAATTGACCAATCATGTTGAGAATCGTCAACCGTAAGGTCGCCATTTTGATGAATACTCGTTCGTAATTGGTCAATTTTTACGGTACGTCTTACATTACTGTTATGTCAATTTGTGTGTGGAGGTCTTAAGAATTGGCACTAGATAATCTTAATATCGACGATATATATAAACAACAGTATATTAAGCTGGTATAATACTCATCAAGAAAATGTATTGTATTGATTGAACGTGTCGCCGTTGATATGCATTGTCAATATTAAGATTATCTAATAGAAAGTTACTATTTAGTACGCGTATCAAATGCACGATGTAAACCAGGCCATTGACCAATCAGTTTAGGTGCTTTCCAATTGCTTAATACATCTTGACATACACGTACACAAAATCAGTTTATTGGTTACATATTATCTAAAATATCTTGTAAGATAATATGCAACCAATAAGCTGGTTTTGTGTAACACAGTGGCCTGGTTTACATCGTGCATTTGATACGCGTATTAAGTAGTAACTTTCTATTAGATAATCTTAATATCGACAATGCATATCAACAGCGACGCATTCTATTAATACAATACGTTTTGTTGATGAATATTATACCAACTTAATATACCGTTGTTTATATATATCGTCGATATTAAGATTATCTAATAGAAAGTTACTATTTAGTACGCGTATCAAGTGCACGATGTAAACCAAGCCAGTGTACGCAACTGGAAAGCACCCCATAATGTTTTGAAGTGTTTGAAGCATCAAACAAATCCTCCCCTAACTAAAATCACTAAAAATCCAGTTCTGCTATTGGTTATCGAAACATCGGTCATTGGACATCGGTAGACATCGGGTGTTTAATAACACAAGCATCATTCTGTCTTTCTTCCATATTCAATGAGTAACTAAGATAGGATGATGTCGAATTGTGTTATTAAATGGAAAGCACCCATCAGTATGATTTAGAGATGCCCGATTCTTAATCGATTCAATTCTTTGCCTAACAAATTTAGAGAAAAAGGGTTGTTCGTGCTGCTTGCATGTTTCATACTTTTCGCTTTTAAAAAGAGATGGACGCCTAATCAGACGCTTGGGAGAAACAATCGAGTTGGTTGCCTCGTTTTTGTTTCTTCGAAACATTCCAATATACTTCTGTCTAATTTTAAATACGAAAAGTGCAAAGAGTGCAAACAACACGAATAAGCCTATTTTTGGGGAAAAAATCGAATCGATTCAGAATCGGGCATCTCTAGTATGATTGCTCCATAACTTTGTTATGGTTTATTCATTTTCGAAGAACTTTTGAACTAGTGCAATAAGTTAGAATGAAATAAATATACTTTCTTTTACTTTAATTTATAACGTACTAGTGTGCACTAGTTCAAAAGTTCTTCGAAAATGAACAGACCTCATGAATAATTAATTGTATCAATCGAGCTGAGTCGAGCCGGGCCGAGACGCACCGAACTAACACGAATCGGACCGCCATTGCAGTAAGTTACGTACATTGAGATAATTTTACATACTGTAGAGTGACAACAGTAAAGCGATGAGTGATATATTTCTTCAACGAGAGAAGGTTGATCTAAGGTTCAATTGACGGTAAACAGGAAATATTCGTAAATTATTAACTTCTATCAATTATTTTTATCGTAATCGGCAAGTTGCGAGTGTTGAGACGAGAAGATCACAGTGGAGAAACGGAAGATCGAGCGCGATCATTGAATATCTGGAATATCTATGTCGGCGTTGCAGTAGTTCTTGACGTGTAAACAATTCGTGGAGTTGCGTGTGTCATTCTGGATGATGATTCCTCATTACGTAAATTGCACATGAAGAATGCTATGGTGAAGAAAAAGTGTATAAAATTTTCTCGATTTTTTGCAACGGATGGTGGCTTTCGAAAATGACTGACTCTACCTCTTCTGCCGCCTCTACTCTTGTCAGGTAAATTTGTTATCCTATGAAAAGTAAATCACGCAATCTTTTATAAATACTATGTTAGCTAACGTTACTTTCAATAGTTTATTAAACAATATACTAAAAATAAGCTTCGGTTCATTGTATAAAAATGAATACATGTTTTGTAAAGAACAAGTCATATGATTATAACCTTACTTCGTGCGAAAGAATGTGAATGCGAAAGCGGAAAAGGAATAAACATATATTATTTAATATATAGCGTGCAAAATTTATAAAACTATATAAAGTATTTTGTATTTTCTTATTTCCCTTTATATTATGGAATATTTTTGCAAAATATTAGCGCTGTTTAAGAGTAATTTGTTACTTGTTTATAGTAGTTATCTTAATAATTATCTGCGATTATCTCATATAATTTTCTATAATTATGAGAATTACAAGGTGATACAAGAGAATTGTGGATAACAATTTTCATAAGTAGTCCAAGTCTTAAATATAGAATATTGCAGTAAACATTAAAAAATTATATATTTATACTACATATAAATATATAATTTTTTTTCTACATATGATCCTTAGATATATAAAATTATAGCTTATTAGTTTGTATATTTATTTTATATAATTACTTTATATAATTACTTGGATTGTAGATCTGGTTTTTTATTTATATAAAAATTTCAAGTTAACATCAATTATATTCAATGACTTAGATATCTATTATGGACTTCTTCGGAATCAATTCCGATCGGAATAATTCCGTTTCCTCTAAAAAAGACAATAGAAATCTAGGAAATAACTGAATGTTTCCAGTCGGAATTAATTCTGAAGAAGTCCGTAATAGGTATCCTGTTGAACTTGTTTTTTTCCTTTAACATTAATATACAAGAGTTGTACTTAATATAAAATGCACATATGCAAGTTTTGAAGACGAAATTGTACGTTGTTTTCTACAAGTATATTAATGAAGTATTGTGTGCCTCAACATTAAAATATTTTTCAAGTTTTCCTCTTGATTACTGTTAATGTAAATACTTACAAAATTAATGATATGTTTGTTAATAATGTGTAAGGTCATAATTACTTATACTAAATTTAAAAAATTAACATTGTAAATTGAAATTATTTTTTTCTTATATTAGCATTCTTTTTCTCTAGTAAATCATTTTAGAGCCAGCCACTTATCAACTTGGATATTATTTTCAAATTTTTTAAATTAAAAAAACCTATCATTATGGTATATTTACAGGATACTCTATTACTTCTTAAAAAGTAAAGTAAAAATTTTGTGTAAAAAATATGCTATATAATGATTTAGATAATACTGTAATGATATAGATAAAAGATTTTTTTTAAATAAACTTAACTATGTGTTGTTAAAATTTATATAATTGTTTATATTTTATAATTGAATAAAAAATTGACTTATCAGATCTGTGTTTACTATAATTATGTATTATAAAAACATTTGATTATTAGTAAAAACTGAAAAGAAATTTTAAACAGAGCATATCTTGTAGGATAATTAGCAACGTAGTGACTTTATTGAAATGCGTTGCTCGGACAGGATTTGTGATAATAAACAATATCTATTGCATACCTACATATGTAGTATGGATGATGCTATTATTTCCTGTGAAAGTATATCAACCTCAAGTGTATTGGCGAATCGAAGGCCTATTTTTCCACTGGTTATTGGCAATGGTGTCGATGTGGACATGGTCGGCAGGTTACGACAGTAAGTACAAATAATATAAAGGAAAATTGAGAAAGAATATAAGCTACTATACAAAAAATTTATATAAAATATATAAAATATGTCTTTTATTCAACAGTAATAGAGCAAGGGGATGACATTCAGAAGATCATAAGTGAAAAAACATTAGTTATAGCGAATCATCAGAGCACTGGTGATGTTCCTATATTAATGACAACATTTAATGCCAAACCGAATGTTCTACCCAATTTAATGTGGATAATGGATAGAGTGTTCAAATTTACTAACTTTGGCATAGTTTCTATATTGCATCAAGATTTTTTCATTGTATCGGTAAGTGTGAAGTTATATCTTTAAACATACATATGTATACTTTAATACTGCAATTCTAGATAAAATCGTAAAACTCGTAACTTGTTCTTGTAAGACTTATATGAATTTATGAGTAGATCTGTAATTCAATGTGGACCATATATCGTACGATAACTCGTAAATCTACGATTTCCTGTAAATTATAACTGTCTAACTAGTTGTTAATAAAGTTACGGTTTGTGAATTTTACCAACATTACAATTGATTTGTAAGCTATGACTTTACGATTTTACGATTTACTCGTATATTTGTTTAGAATTGCAGCATAAGTATAGGTCTGCGATTTAGTGATTATGCATTGAATAACTGCAGGGCCGTAAACGAAGGGAAGAAAGTTTAAAACAATTAGAGAGACATCTTAAAGAGTCTTATATACCACGAGACAGAAAATGGATGGTACTTTTCCCAGAAGGAGGTTTCCTATGCAAAAGACGGGAGACATCGCAAAAGTATGCTAAAAAAAATAACTTGCCTATTCTTGAAAATGTGACTCTACCGAGAGTAGGAGCTATGCAGACGATATTCGAGACACTTGGACCAGTACGGAGTAAAAATTCAGAAGATCAACAGTTAAACAGCCGACCAAGTAAACTTTATATCATAAATGTCATTCTGTAATATTT